TACGAAATTTTGAAAGGGTCGCCAAAGCCAATAACTGGTCAGAAAAAAGGCAATGCGATATCTTGCCAGTATTTCTACGGGACAGAGCGGCCGAATATTATGATGAGCTGCATGACGGGGATAAAAGTGACCTCGAAACACTAAAATCTGCATTAATGAAACATTTTATGCCTAAGGAAGCTCGTAGATTTTATTATGCAGATTTATATTCACGGAAGCAAAACGAGCTAGAATCCGCTGATGATTTTGGTCGGGCCATACAACTGCTTGTCCGCCGGGCATATGCTGAAATGCCCATAGAACACCAAGACACTTTGATGCGTGAACATTTTGTTAATGGTCTTAGGTCTGATTTAAAGCGTATGGTACTAATTTCGGACCCTAAAACATTCACGCAAGCACTGGATTTGGCTAAGAGGGAAGAAATCCACGAGCAAATTACAAACGGATCCGCCCCCTGGGTAAAGCCAAAATTTTCGTACCCAAGCAACGCTGTTACCACAAGCCCTGTTGCCGCCGTAACTGGGGAACAAAATTTAAATGCAAGAATAGACCGTTTAGAAAGTGTGGTCGAAAAACTCGCCATGACTCTTGCAGAGTCCTCTGTTTCCAAACGCCAAGATCGTCGGTTTGGGGGTAGAGGCAGATATGATAGAAGGTACGAGGAAAGAAATTTGAGGTCCAGTGACGGAAGGCCGATCTGTAATTATTGTAAGAGAGTAGGACATGTGGAGGCCGTATGCAACACCAAAAGAAATGGACAAAATTCAAAAAACTGAGTAACGCTGCTCACGATTCGTCATCCTTGGGGTGTGATGCAGCTAATAGTAAATTTTTAAATCCCCAATCTTCTTCGGATAGTCGTTTGTTTAATGAACCGTTACAATGTGTAACATTTATTGGACGTGTCGAAAATTTTGAAACCGAAATAATTATTGATTCTGGCTCAGGTGTATCAATTATTAGTTTAGAGCTTTTTACTTTGATCAATAAACATGCTAAGTCACCGTTAGAACTTTACACTAATTCTATATTAGCTAAAACTGCTACCGGTGAGAAGTTGGATATTATCGGTACAACTACGTTAGAAGTTGATTTTGGCCATAGTAACTGGTATGTAGACTGTTATGTTGCACGTAATTTCAACTATTCATTCTTGATAGGGACCGATTTCTTAGTCAAATCTGGCGCCAAGGTAGATCTGTCTACGCTACAAGCTACTATAGGGCAAGATAAGATTCCTATAAGTGTAGTTAAGCGTCCTAGCCAAGTACAGGTATGCGTTACAGAATCCTTAGAAATTCCAGCTCGCAGCGAAGCGCTCCTCACGGGACATATTTCTGGGTTGCAGGGTACTGTTCTAGTCGAGCCTAGGTACGAAATAGCAAGCAATGATTGTTTATTGTATCCTGCTAGATCTGTTGCTTGTGTATTGAATAATGAGATTCCGGTAAAGATTTTTAATGCTAATGACTTTCCAGTCAAGATTTTTTCAGGAACATGCGTTGGGATGGCAGAAATTCTAGACGAGACACGTATTAAGTCTCAAAATGGTGACGCCCATACTAACAATTCCTTTTCAGATGTGTGGATAAATGAAATAGATTTAGATAACTGTTCGATTTCCAGCCATGAAAAGCAACAACTTTTGCATTTGTTGACCGAGTATAGGGATGTGTTTGTTAAATCTGATACAGAGGCAGGTCTTGCCCAGCGTTTTACACACAACATCGACACTGGTGCACACCCCCCTCTTTATCAACGTCCGTATAGAATTCCTCATAGCCAGTTAGGTATGATTGATGAACATATAGACAACATGCTAGAAAAGGGAATTATTAAGGAATCTAATAGTCCTTGGTCTCAACCCCTCGTTATTGTAACTAAGAAAGACGGTTCGCCCAGGTTTTGTGTCGATTTTAGAAGGCTAAACAACATCACTAAGAAACAAATTTTTCCTATGCCAAGGGTAGATGAAGTCTTAGACTCCCTAGGTGCTTCATGTTATTTTACAACACTTGACCTCGCTTCAGGATATTGGCAAATTCCTATGAAATCAGAAGATATGGAAAAAACCGCCTTTTGCACTAGAAGGGGCAACTTTGAGTTTCGAGTTATGCCCATGGGATTAGTCAATGCTAGTTATACGTTTCAAAAGATGATGCAATTGGTATTAAGTGGCTTACAATGGCAAATCTGTATGGTCTATTTAGATGACGTAATCGTTTATTCTAAATCATTCGAAAAACATCTAGCGAATCTACGTTCTGTCTTCGATCGCTTTAGAAAAGAGGGTCTCAAGCTTAAGCCTAGGAAATGTCACTTTTGCAAACCGGAGGTCTTATACTTAGGCCATGTTGTAGGTAGGGATGGAATAAAACCCAACCCAAATAAGGTGGATGTCGTTAAGACATACCCAGTGCCCCGTAACTGTAATGAAGTACGTAGTTTTGTTGCGTTAATATCATATTACAGGCGATTTATCAAAGACTTTGCTTCGATTGCTAGCCCTTTGAATAATTTACTTAAGAAAGGAGTTAATTTTCAATGGACCGACGTATGTCAGGTTGCTTTTGAACGTCTAAGGGACTCTTTACTTAAATCACCCATCCTTTCATACCCTAACTTTAAAGAGAGATTTTGCCTTTATACAGACGCTAGCAATACGGGTTTGGGTGCAATTCTTGCACAGAACATAGATGGTATCGAAAAGACCATAGCTTTTGCAAGTCGTAGTTTAAAGCCTCACGAGCGTAAGTACGCAACCATTGAAAGGGAATGCCTTGCATTAGTTTGGGGTATCAAGTACTTCCGCCCCTATTTGTATGGTAGGGAATTCGACGTAGTAACGGATCATAACCCCTTAAGATGGTTGGATAATGCCAGGGACCCCCATTCTAGACTTTCTCGGTGGTCTTTGACACTTCAAAGTTATGCATATACCATCAAGCATAGGCCAGGCAAGTCACACGGGAATGTCGATGCTTTGTCTAGAATGCCAGAATCTACTTCGGATAGGGAACCCCCAAGGGAGGAATTACCTGCTTTGATTTGTGCTATTGATACGCCAGGTTTGCAGTTAGAACGCATCAAAGAGCTCCAACACCAAGACCCTGCTTTGACAGACCTTATCAATTATTTCGAACAGGGGGATATCCCCGAGAGTTCCATCTCAGCTCGCCGCCTTATGGCTACGGTCGAAGATTACTTATTTGAGGAAGGTGTATTGTATCATTTAGACCGAGGTCGAGCACGGTCAAGAACCAACGTTTCCAAGCAGCTAGTAATTCCCAGATCTCTTAAAGATGAGGTCATGTTATCTTTACACGAGGAAATAACTTCTGGTCATCTATCATTCCTTAAGACATACCTAAAAATTAAACAACGCTTTTTCTGGACAGGTATGTACACAGAAATTGAGAAATGGTGTGCTTCTTGTGTAGACTGTGCAACTAAGAAAACGCCGCGAAATTTAGCTAAGGCACCTCTACAGCCCATCCCTGTAGAAGGGCCGTTTGATCGCGTGGCTGTAGATGTTTTAGGCCCATTTCCAACATCGCAGCGTGGTAATAAGTATGTAGTAATTTTTACCGATTATTTTACCAAATGGCCTGAGGCATTTGCTGTCACGAATGCTGATGCTCCTACCACCGCCAAATTATTCGTTGAGGAGATCTTGTGCCGACATTCAGCTCCTCGTAAGTTGCTATCGGATCGGGGTAAGAACTTCTTAGCTAAAGTAGTGAAGGGTATTTGTCAGATGGTTAACACGTCTAAGGTTAACACCACAAGTTATCACCCGGAATGCGACGGACTAGTTGAACGATTTAACCATACACTTACCACCATAATCTCTATGTACGTGTCAGAACATCATGGAGACTGGGACCTTTTCATCCCTTACGCTTTATTTGCCTATAGAACTGCCGTACAATCTAGTACAAACGAGACTCCATTTTATCTTATGTATGGAAGAGATCCAAGACTTCCTAAAGACGTCTCCCTAACGAAAGCACAAGAGACTTATTGTAACACTGACGATTATCGTGGAGTAATTGCAGGTAGATTCTTAGACGCACGGAAACTGACACGCGACAATATAGAACTAGCCCAACAGAGACAGAAAAGCCAATATGATAAAACTGCCAAAGACGTCACGTACGATATAGGACAACAGGTTTGGTTATACACCCCGAATAACAGAAAGGGTCTCTCCTCTAAACTAACTCACAATTGGCACGGCCCATATCGTATTCTGGCCAAGAAATCTCCAGTAAACTATCTCCTCGGTGCTAACGAAGAGCGTAATTATATCCAAACCGTTCACGTAAACCGCCTTAAGCCATTTATTTCAGCAGATGATAGGCCTAATCTAGATGCTCCCAATATTGACAATTGCAACCAGGAGGAGGAATCTGCTTGTTTGGATGATGAGAGCGACACAGATCCAGCTGAACTAGTAGTTAAGGCCATTCTGGACAAGAAAATAGTGAAAAATCGATCTGGAAGACGCGACACCTACTATCTCATCCAGTGGGAAGACGACAGTCTAGAGCCATCGTGGGAGCCTATCAAAAACTTGCACTGTGGTGAGCTTTTAAAAGAATTCGAAACTTCGTTACATAATAAGAAAGCTTGCTAGTTCGTACAGTGGCTACATTGTCACAAGAATCTAGGGCGATTCTTTCCCCTGCCCCGGGAGGAATGTAATACCGCTACTCCAAGCGCTAAGCCTCGCTCTTACCTGCCTCGTTTGCGCATTTCCTTCGCCCCATTCATCCACTCTCCCAGCGTTAGTCATACTTGTTTGTGCATACTCTTTTACGTCAACTTGCATCGCACTCTTTGTTGCATTGCGTATACTAGTATTTAGCTCGGAACCTGCCGTATTTAGGAACCAATTTACATTAGTTCTATTCAGCACTATTCAGAAAAACAAGTTTTTATTTCTTTGCCTTTCTTATTTCCTCTGAATACAAATTTATAATTTTAGATACTATTAAACTACAAATAATCAACATGAGATTATATGGCATTAGCTTTTAATATACCATTTTGTGACGAAACTTGTTACTATTGCTTTAACATTATAATACATATAATTTCTAGCGTTTTGTTCACATTGAATTGTGTGCTACTTGTCTAACTGCATTTGTCAAATTTCAAAGCCTTGATTCATATGAGAATAACGAAAATACACAGGTTTTATAGAATATCCTATTAAGCAGGAATGTAGTGAAAAACTTACTCATTTGAAAAAGTAAGGTATGATGTTTTAGACAGCAAATTGCATTGAAGAGATATATATGATATATGTACATTATGATGCAATAAATTTTACACTGCATTTAAACTTCTCTTCATTTGCTGAAGATGTTTTGCAAGCGATCAAAATTATGCAAAAAAAACGCTTCAGTTTTAAAGCACGCCATTCAAGTATATAATGTTTTATGTATTACTTGATATTACGGGCAGCGGGGTTGATCAGTTATCGCCTGTGAACCGAGGCTTACAGGCAATCCAGTGGATCATGGATAGCAACCATTATTTGCAGCGCATCTCGTTTCCGGGAATGCATTCCCTGACCGCATTCCCTGATTTAAAACAATTTTCTCTCTCTTTTGGCGCAATCTTTGGCCTAAGATAAATTGGGTGGTTGTAACAACCAATTATCTACCATGGTAATGGAAGATTGCTGCCATTTTTGGCTGTGAGGATCAAGCTTTGAAAAGAAAGAAACTGATCTCAGCTTGCTTCTTTTGCAGTTGTTTAGTCAGGCAAGTCACGTCGCCAGATACTGAGAAACAAAGAGCCAGGGCATACGGTTCGGCCTTGGCCAGGCCCAGGCTAATTTGAATAGGGATTGTTCACAAAATTAAAAAAACGCGTTTAAAGTATCTAAACACGCAACAGATAAATTATTCATTGCTGCCCTTTCAAGCATTTATTAATCTGGCTTCATTTTTTATAGAAAGACTTGAAATATTAATTTTCATTCAATGTTTGTGATTGAACATTTTTTAGTCCTTGACTTCAACCTACTGCAATTCTTCATTTGGCCACAGCACCAGTATGTTTATGTTGCAAAGGTAGAGGTGATTTGAAGAAAACTTTGAACTTCGGGTAAGATTTTTCTGGCGCCCTTCTAGCCATTCCAAGATTTTGTCCGTATGAAGTTGATTTTAAAATAGTTTTTGCCTAATCGAAATTATATATCCTTTTTTATCTTGATCATTGCAAAGCTTGAACTAAGGCATCTACGTAATACTAAGATTTGATGGAGATGCGGACCTAGCATCAACGCGGTTTCAAGAGTACTATATAACTTTGATGAAGAAATGTCACCTCATTCTGTTTCGGGCAAACAAAGAAAGAGTTTATATACATATGAGTGAGATCCAGCTTGAAGATTTCAATTGACATCAATCTTGATTAGAAATAAGAACGTTTTTTAAACCAGTTTGTCCATCAATGCTCAAACCCGTATTTCAACTTTCTTGTACCGAAAAGCTGAAATTGTTAATGAAGACATTCGCTATTTCTCAGTTTAGCTATTGTCCCTTTAATTGGTTATTGCACGATAGAAAATGGAATAATAAGGCAAATAGCATTCATGAAAAGGCCTTAAAAATTTGCACACAGAGACAATGTTTCTTGTTTTGAAAATTATTGCAAGCTGATAGTACGATGAATCATTTATCAGACGTATTTGCAGTTGCTCACGGTAGAGATCTACTAAACAGAATCAATTTTGGAAAGGAGATACCTCGCAATTTAAGGTGTGTCGATAACCTTCCAAATGTAAAAACAACTTGCTTTAGATTCGATCTGATCAAATTAATGGTGAAAATGTACGAGAGACACAAACCAATTTTCGTAAATAGTTGGCCTTAATTTATATTTTAAACTAGATTCATTTGCAATCTTCAAATAAAAGTATTACTTACAATAATGAATGGTTGGGCCTGGAAAACGTTGTGCTTACACAATCCATGCCCGTGATGAAGGCAAATGACAAAAAATAACACTGCTTGGTCGATAGAACAAATCATAATGTCTCTGATAACAATATTTTTTGTTGGTACAGAAAATTATAAACGGCTTTGAAAATAGCATTAGTTTTTAATCATTAGTAATGTAGTTGTATATAGTTGTCTATTGGCCATGGGGTAGTCATTATCTTTCGCTTTCATTGGTATCATACATCAGGTGTAGTATAGTAACTAGCAGGGACGCCGGAGAGGGGGGCGCAGTGGGTCGACCGCCCCTGTTGCCTTTTGATAGGAGGGACGAGAGGGGCTAAAGTGACCTTTTCATAGAAGTATCCTTGACGCCGGCCTTTTGTAGGAAATCTTTGAGATTCACACGAAATCCTGATTGTAGTGCTTAATATATGACGACAGTTCTCGAAACTTGTGAAGAAATTTCTTATACCAAAATTTAGCCGATTTTTAAGATACCGACAGAAGACAGAAAGGAAATGACAGTTACCAAAGAATTGTGGGTAGCTGGGAATTAATTTTTTCACATGCCCTTTTACTCAAGTCTGTCCCCTTGCCCCTTGGTCGTTCTGGCGCCCCTGGTAACTAGGATAAGTATAGTAGAAAATAACATGTATTATAATATTGTATATGCATTGAAAAAAGCAGGCATTTTGAGTCATACTTAAACTTTATGTCAGATACTCTCCAGAGTATAAAACGAATTTATTCTGTCAAAACAATAGCGGCTTTCATGTTTATATAAATAGATTTCAAAACTGCTAGATGGAAAGACGATCAGGCTCTACCAATGAAAAGGGGAAAGTGGCAATCTAAAGTAACATGATAATATCATTGAGCAGTTTTTCAATATGCAGTTTTAGTATAAAATGTATAAAAGCTCTGAGTTCTAGTACCAATCACGAGTCACTTGTCAACATGATAAAAAATGTTTTGAATTCTTTTGATTGTAAGATTAAAACTTGTCAGTCTTTCAAAGGCGAATTCTGGATTATTACGAGGAATTCACTCAAAAGCAGCGGAAATATTTTAGTAAATTTTTTAAATATTTTTAATTTTTGTTGATTTATCTGAAGTATATTTTTTTGGCAGCCTCAAACTCCAGTAGTGCTTTTCCTCCACAGCTATGGGTGCTTCTGAGAAAGTTGTAAACAAACCAGACAAAATTAGCGAACTCTGATTGGCTAAAAAAATTGTAAACAAAGCATCTAATTAGACCTAAACGAAATTCCGCCTGGCTGCTTTGTGTAGTTGTTTGCTTTTTGCTGTATTAAAGTTTCAAGCTTGAAATACACCTGAGCTATAAATTTATCATTGCTTTTTCAGCCGAAGAACCGAGAAAAATGATCGACCAGGGAAAAGTCACGAAGATTTCTGCACTTGGAATCTTGTAAGTAAAATGTATAAGTCCGCAGACATTTTGATCAATAAACATGATGTATTGCAATTATGGCGGCCTTTTTTTAAGGTAAAGTGGCAAATATATTGCTGAAATAAGTTGCTTCATCGTGTTGAATTGAGCTTACACAAAGCTCTATGTATGCACACTTTGCTAAAAGAATGTGATTTATGAAAATATCCAGGCTAAAAACAACTGACATTTAGAATAAACTAGCAATTACCCCAAAAACTTTTAAAAGTCTCATTAACTAGACGCTATCACAAAAATCAATAATTTCTCATAAGTATTAGTGACAGCTTGATTTTTAAATGACAAAGTGTCAAGCTGCAGAGAGAATATTCTAAATGCATAGCAAGATTAGTTTATATCCACGTTTATTAAAATATAAAAGTTAATTAGATGCTTTAAAGCAAATAGCAACGAATTTCAAAAATTTACCTATTTTTTATCAAAAGTAGAAATTAGACGCTTTTACAAAAAATTTTGTTCGGAATCTTTTGCAAATGAACCAATTTTCTCGCAGTTCCACCAGCAAAAATTACTAACCATATAATTAATTACTATAGATAGAACATTAAAAAGTGAAAAAGCTATTCGCTCGAGACTAGGTTTTTTGTAGAACCAGAGACGTAGATAAAGCTGTTGAAACAATTACGATTGTTGGCTCTGGTTGCAGCAAAGACATACAACCTGTTTGTTTTTGTTTGAACAGGTATTAGGCAATGAATCTAAGCAACGGGAACCACGATATTTGCTTTCAATAGAGTTTAGAAAATATATCAACTGTAAAGATATTATGTTATGTATAACCAATTGCTGGTATCACGATAACAATAAATATGCATTCACATGTCTCTATTCTATACAACTAGCTGTGTAATACAGATTTGTCTCAAACGCTACGCGAATTAAAGAGGCAACTGATCGGTGTATAACGAACCTTTTACCAAAAATTTTTCAACACACAAGAAAACCAGGATACTGCCTAACAATTACTTTAACGGCAAGTCTTTAGTGTTCCCAATTTTGATAGACCTATCTGTGAAAGTTGAGATTCTTGAGAAACAGGCGACAAAATGTATTGATAGCTTTATGGCGTCCTTTGCTACAATACATTGGTAAAGTGATAAATAAATCTAAAACGTAGTAATTTTCACCAGCTCCAACAGAAAATCTGATTGTTTTTTTAAGCGGGGGGGGGGGGGGGGGGGCGGTCTGTGGCCACTGGAATGTTTTGGACACATTTTTATGATTGGCTGAAATTTCTTTTTGACAACTTCTTTGAAAGCTGCTTGACAGCTTCATTAAGATATTTCATCTATGTTATATTTAATTTTAAAGCATTTGCTGCTAATTACTGATAGCATGAGCACAGTGTCAGGCTTGTCAATATACTGATGGCCAATAGTCTACGCGTGTAAAAATGACTCAAGTGGGGCAAAAGCTGCAATAAATATAATGGTGGCCCATATCATCGAGCTTTGTTAATTCTTCTGCAGTTTAAACAAGGTCCGTTGTTAATTAACGAAATTCAGATTTTCATTCTTAAAAAAGTTTCTCCATTCTAAAGAAGTTTTACGTCAAAATAATGAAATAACAGCTTGTATCCACAATGAATTTTTTGCTGGTTTGCCACATTTGGCGCTTTAGTCTAGTTATCGAACAATAGGATTCCATCATGGCGTCGCAAACTACGAGATACTCTATTGATAAGAATATTGACAACTTCCATTGATGCCGATGATGCCATTTATCCGTTGCATTCTTGACTTTAGGGCAGCTGGTTTGTCAATTTGGTTGCTTATAATGCCTTTTTAAATCTTTACTACTAGTAGAAATGTAATTATATAAAATATATTGTCTTTCTAGATAACGATATTCTATAGCTTGTGTCTCGTCTATAAATTAACAAATAAAAGGCACCTTTCTAGACTGAAAGAAAGAAACTTTTTGCATAAGAAGTTAGGTATTCCATGAAAAGGAGATCTTTGACACATTTATTGAGCATTCCTCTGTGGTAACATAAAGTCTTTTAAGCGAGTTCAGGAATGCTAGCACTTTTATAAATAAAAGGGTTTGTATTTTTTGCAACACAAGGTTTGTTGTGTTGATCGAGGCGGATGTTTAGGCAGTAAAGATACATCATTGATTTATGTATTTATATATAAAACATAACAAAACGTTACAGCATTAAAGCGATTCCTTACTACTACTTGACTTATTACATTTGTGACATTCAACCAGACTTAACGCAACTAGTGATATATGCATGCTTTCATAGAATTGGTCTGGTAACAAATATATCTATATAATAAGGCTGTATACTGAAGATCATTCCAGCCATTACTTGTGAAATCAGTATTCTATCGATCTTGAAGATTCTAACTCGTTGCGAATATTTTGATTGATTTCTATCAGATGCCGTTGACATTTTTCGGCTAGTAGCTGATGGGGTTTTGATGAAATGGGAGGCAGATTTAATTTGATGAATACATATGTCTTCTGATACTACGAGTAGCTCATTTCTTATTCACAATTGGCTTTAAATTGTTTAAGGAAATCATGTTTAAGGGGTTAAAGAAATTGAACAGCTAAATGTTAAATTGTCTCAGGAGTTAAGATCGGGAACAGAGGCGGATCCAGATTGAATTCCTTGGTGCACAAAACTCAGTCAGTTTTCCAACATACAGCTAAAAATAGTGTTGCCTGAAACAAGTAATATTTAAATTTAAAAATTGAAACCTTAAAATTCTAAGTTTTATCACAGTCTCTTCAAAATTTTAAAATTGCCAGTTTCTTCTCTGTCGTGATTTGGAAACGATTTTCCAGACGCTGTGGAGGACAACAGCAGTCAATCCCAGAACTCGGAAATAAACATTTTGTGCCTCGGAAGTGAATGAATTGAAACAATGAACTTTTTGTTTGGAACACGGATGGAACTCAGTCAAAACAGCATCTGGAACTCGAAAATGATACCATATTTGTAAGAGAGCTTTACAATGGCCCGTAGTTAATTGGCTACCTATTGTTTCTGTTCTATCGTGAAACTGCCAAAAATTGAATTCGAAATGGCGACTGCAGATGTCTTATACTGACGATCATCGCAGCATTCTAGCAGATTATTAAACATTTGAGATAAAACCAGGAGATATCGTTAATTTTCCAGGAGTGTTAACTACCTTTGCTTTAAATTGCAGTTTTTAATGGCACGGAAAACCTATGCTCAGACGGAACACCATAATTTGACGAATAGGCTGGTGTCTACAGAGGCAAAACAACAAATTGCGAGCAAAACAAAAGGAAAAAACTTTGCTGTGGCATCCAAAACAAACAAAGGGTATTGAGAAAGGGGGGGTGGGGGTTCAAAAAATTCTCACAGAGGCACTGTTTTTTGTCGGAAAGAAATCTAGAATCTAGATTTAGTGAGTAGATAGTACCTACCCAACCCCCCCCCCACCCCCCATCAATGGTGTCAAAATGCATAAATATGAAAAATAATGTTGTCTTATGTACAATGATCAATGCATTATCTGAAATTCCCTAGCCTTGGCCTGGAACTCAATCAAGTTTTTTGCTGGATCTGCCCCTGGGGAATTCTATATCAAAGGCCTTGATACTTTGACTTGCTAGCTAGGTAGCAAAAGGTACTTTTAAATATATCTAAATTACTTACTAGGTCTCTGATCTTCGTGAAGAACTTGGCAATAAATGGAGAAATCTTGCGTTTATCCTGTGCGGTATTTGGAAATTTCTCGGTGTTACATCAGGACAGGTCGTTAGCAGCGACTTTTCGTACACTGGACGGCGTGGACGAGCAAAGCTGCAAATCTAACTGCATCATGAACCATCAATGCAAGTCTATTAACATAAATGAAGACGAAAGCATTTGCGAGTTAAACTTCAGATCTGATCAAGACCCAAAAGACACCATTCAGACATATTATAGACAAAAATGGAAATATCTTTCTACAAATTATACGGAAACCTTGGTAAGTTAAAGGTCTTTATGCTTCCTTGGATTTGTTGAACACATTTTTTTCAAGTCAAGTTGAACACTTTTTTCCATTCAAAGCAAACAGAAGAAATATTTGCTGGAAAGTATAATTGCTTACGAAAATAGCTATGATTAAGACTTGGTTAAAAGTTTGGTACTTTCTAAGTAGCTTTATGCAATCGGTTGTGGGCTGTCCTGGCTGTGTAAGCGGCCATATATGGTGGGCGGAGTTGATAGAATTCATACGAATACAAAGCATCATAGGTAATATGCTGTGTCATTCATGATATTTAATTTACTATAGTGACATGGATTTGAGGCATAGATTCATCCTTTTTTTGTAATATACCTGTCTCGTGACACATGAACGTTTCGAACAATTTCAGCGTTCATATTTTTCGACAGTTCTTGTAAAACAACTGCCAAATAGCGGTTCATTCCTTGATAAAGAATAAGGCAGAAAATGTTCTCGCAAGGTAGCATTGAGTACTTTAATCCGTATGATAATGAAAACAACAAAAGAATTCATAGCAGTAATAGCTCTGCTGAAATGGAGAAACTAGACCCCTAGGTATGAGGATGACTCAGTAATTAGGGTCGCGTTGGTCTACCAAGCCAAGGGGCAATGGTTTGAGTCCTTAATAAGACCCAATTTACAAGCAGAGTAGTGGACGCCACCAGTTTGCGTGAATTCTAGGTGTAGGAATCACTAGATTTGGTAACATTGAGAAAAAGGGGACAAGGGTACTCCTTCAGAAAAACTGCTTCTCAGTGTCCTAGAAACTACCTTCGGAATCCAGGTTCAAAATTGAAGAAATTAAGAAATTAATCTTTGAGTTTTCAAGCCTGGCTTTTGAAATTTTTGAGTGTAAATTGAAACCCGCTTCATCTTGCTTTGGTGGAGAGTACTTGACGGCCTTTACACTGCAGTCACTCTTGACACACTGTCTGTATTATAATACTACAAAGGTCTCTGAATAACTGCAAATTTTTATGTTTATACACAGATTGGACGTAACTGCAAAACCTTTGGTAAATGTTCCAATGGTTATAAATGTTATGATACCTGCTCGTGCCCAGGCTATCAGTGTGTTGGTTAGTAGTTTTTTAGTACTTTAAATCCTGTTAAAATCCAAGATATCATCGATACACTAAAATATTATCAAGCCTATTGCCGGAATAAGAATGTTTGCAAAATGCCATTTTATTCTATTAACCGGTTCGTATGTACTGTAATTCTTAAAACGTCTGTCTTCTCTTATGCTATTGGTTGACTTTTTCAAAACCGGACTATCTACCGAAGGGATGACAAAGGAAGATGAAAATTTAGCTATGACATGATGTAAACCGCGTATTCCATTATCTAAAATATTTAAAGACATTATTTGTGAAACAAGATTTGAACTTTTCTAGAGCACGTAAGCTCCTTGAATACTCATCGATTTCTCTGTTTAGCTTCTATGTTTTTATTTTTGTCTAATCTTTCTTTTCTAAGTCAGATTTTGAAATCCATGTGAGATTATTTTACTAGATTCAATTTTAATATATCTTTATTGTTTGTTGATTGCCTTGCGATTTTAATTTGTACAATTGAAAATAAATGCCTTTTTGATATCTGTCTTTTTAATTTTATAATAGCTTTAGATGCTTTTATTTGAATTCTGTTGAAATTAGAACTTGCTTTACGTTTATTTACTTCATGTTACTGCAAAGTTCATAGTCTTGTATTATTGTATTGAAATGGTCTTTTATTGATTTCTCAAGAGATCTTTTACCTGCTTGAATACCTTGTTTTTTCATTGAACAAAATCCTAACAACATTCTTCAAGTTTGATTATAGTATAACAGCAATCTTTTTGTGGTTAGAAATAGATGAGTGCGCAACTGGTACTCATAATTGTCACCAAAATGCAAAATGCTCAAACAGCGTCGGGTCGTTTTCTTGTCAATGCAACCAGGGTTTTCAAGGAAATGGCAGCATTTGTAAAGGTATTCCCTTTAGAAAAACTACTTATCTTAATTACAAAAACACAGCATATCATGTTGACAAGCAGTATCACCTAGCATTTTTTTATCTACATGACAAGCCAATAGGAAACTTTTTGTTTCGTTTCTGTTACCGAACATAAATTTTATTAGATAATAACTCCGATAGTTTAGGAAAATATCAGGAAAATCACTCGAACAAAACGTTCTTCCTTTTTTCTTGAAAATCGATGTTATGGTTCCCAGATTTAGCAGGACTGTATAAAATTATTTTAAAAATCTTCTTAAAACGTCTGTCCTCTCTTATGCTATTGGTTGACTAGTTCAAAACCGGACTATCTACAGAAGGGTTGACAAAGGAAGATGAAATTTTAGCTATGCCATGATCTAGCACTCTCCAATATGGGCTATCCGCTTCCATTATCTAAAATATTAAAAGGCATTGTTTGTGAAATAGAATTGGAACTTTTCTAGAGCACGGAAGCTCCTTGAATATCAGAGCACGGAAGTTTAGCTTCTATGTTTTTATTTTTGTCTGGGAATCTCCTTGATCATAATCGAACAACGTACTTATTGTTTATTTACCATAAACTGTGTTATACCATGAGCCAAGAACAAGTAAGCAAAGTTATAAAGATGTACCATTGATTCTGGCTCTATCTGTAATGTTTGATTCACGCATAGTATCGTTCACTTAAAATGTGATTGCGAATAACTACGAGACTAATAGCCAAATGAGACAATAACATATCATATGTATTTGTTGACATGAATAACACTGCTTCGAATTGTAGATAACCATGTTTTGTCGTAACTTAGGTGCGCTGAGTTTAATTGTCAGTTCCACTTTCTTCCTTTGACTGATTGTTTTATTAATTCATTTTAATCTGAAATTTTTTTTTGGTGAAAAAGGAAGCGATTGTAAAGCTTATAAGATCTTTTAAATCAAAGCCTTTAAAACAAGGAATTCAACTTAACTTTGAATCTGAATATAATCTTTGGTCGCAACTTCAATTTGATAGAACGCTTTTTTTCAGACATCGATGAATGCAAAGAAAATTTACAAAACTGCATCATTAGCCAAATCTGTCAGAATTCAACCGGATCTTACTCCTGCTTTGCGTTTCATAGGTATTTTGGGAAAACAAAATCTTGGCTAGGTAAAGAAATAAAAATAATTATTTCGATTTGTTTTGAATTACATTTTTAAATACAATCACGTTCTAGCCTATAGGATTTGTGGACCTATTTAGATAATACATGGGCGGAAAAATGTGTCCAAACTTTAGGAACGAACAGTGACCTTTCTATAAAATATGTAGGCAATAGTTTTTCTCTGTTCTATACTCAAATGTGTGCAATATACAATTTCGTAGGCATCAGCAACATTGCTTATAACAAGGCATCGAGTCAATCATCGACTGATGATCCTGGAATACTCTCTAGCGTGGCTAACGATGGTAATCGCATAGTGCGTGAAAATCTTTGCATTATTACTTTAAAGCAATGGAAACCTTGGTGGCGAGTGAATCTCAACAGAAAAGCTGCTGTCAAAGGCATTATCGTCATTTTTCAATATATTTTTGGTGGTGTTCTGCACAGTGTCAGCGTTGGTAACGACTATAGCAATGGAGGAATGAATAACCGACTTTGCGTAGAGAACGTGACTATCGAATACAGAAAATTACGCATGCTCGTTTGCCAAACAACGTTGTATGGGCAATACGTTACTGTCTTCACATACCGTTATGCTCGTTTGAGAGTGTGTGAAGTTGAGGTCTATGAAGGTAAATATTCTATTTTAAATTTCAATATATTAATGTAGACTTACTCCATGAGCCTCTGTTTCGCTACTACCTCTGTTGAAGCGTCCGGTAAGTGAGGCAGTAGCGAAATAGAGGCTCAAGTATAATATTGATGTCCTTATTCGTCAAAATCACTCAACCGATTCAATTACAGAGAAAGATCAAAACATTTTTTCTTAAAACATACTGATAAAATCTGAAATCGTAGGTTACACAATAGCAAAAATTTTATGATACCGAAGACAAGGCAAAAAGTATGATTCTGACAAGTAGGCGATTTATTTTTAATGTGCTCTCTTATTGAATTTCTAGATTGACGAAGCAGTAATTTATTCAAATTTTTTTCTCGAAAAAACATTGCCCTTAGACAATAAAATAATTAAATATCAAATCCGAACTTTTCTCCAGTCGATATATCAGTGTACGGGTTCTTTGCTTTTTTTTTATTACAATTGCAATTAGTTTTTTTGGCAAATAAATTAACCATGTTTCCAAATTCAAAATAACTGCAAAGTTTGATAATAAGCGTTGAAGCTATCAAAGGCTATATAGCGAGCTGTTCGCATATATTTCTTGCTTTTGTCACAATAAAATTTGATAAGGATGAGACCGCTAGAAAATCCTTTCTTTTTTGCGCGACTGTTTACACAAAAAGACCTCAAACCGGAATGAGACCAAACGCAAGTTCTATAAAATCGTTTCCTTTTTACGGAAAAACATCAACCTGGGTTGAGATTGAACGAGATTGCGTGAAAATCCTTCCCTTTTGACGCATTCGTGTACTCATTCGTGTACATTTTGCAGATAGGGATAAAACAAATGATCAATGGCCAAAAGCTTTCTTTTCTTAGGCTTTCTTCACTTTTGATATTCAAAAGTCAGTGTGGTTGCGTTAAACTTCTTTCATATTAGGAGCGCAGTTTTGGGTTACAATTAAAAATTTTAACTATAATTGTCTTTTTGCAGCTTTAATTACTAATTATATTAATTTCTTCCTTTCTTAAAAGCTAATGTGGCATACAGTGGAACAATCAACGAGTCAAAAACAGTGACTATCGATGGCACAACTTTGGATTCATTCTCAACGTATGGTAACACTACTGGCCAAATTCGGTCGCTCACTCCTTCCTCTGAGGCAATTGGAAAATCTTGGTGGAGTGTGGACTTAAGGAGAAAAGCCTCAGTTAATATCATAGTTTTGAAAGTTGGTTTCTATTGGGAGAATCCTTTACCGTTTAATATTAGTGTTGGTGATTGGGTTTCCCGTTTTAGAAATGTGAACCAATTTTGTGTCACTGACGGGCATGTAAATAAGAATGGAACAAAGACCTTTCAATGCCCAAAACCATTGGTTGGAAGATATGTAACAATTTTTGCAAACAGAACAACAACACTACAAATTTGCGATGTTCACGTTTACGAAGGTAAATTTTCTATATCTTTAATTTGAGCAATATATATTTTAGAAATGATTTCTGTCTCACACAGATGCTTTCAAAGGAATATCACCTTCCATCAAAATCTTGAATTTCAGGTACAGAAGTATTGTAGCAGTATTACGAGACTTTTTTGGTGAAGGATCTTTTAAGAATCTTTCATTGTTTAATCCGAAATTTTGCAAGAATCTTAAGTAGAAAAGGATTTTGTCTCCAAAACAAGGAACTCAATGTCATTGCTTTGCAGCAGCTATACTACTTTGCAAAAATCTTATTCCTCAACTCCCATTCTACTGTATATCTCTGCATTTTCCCCTGTAAACAAACCATGGAATAATCTCAAATACTGACATTAGGTGCCTGTTGCGTATTCAGCATTTGTTGGCTGATTTAAGTGTTATCCCACAAATCATCCAATTAGAATTTAAATCTAATTAGTAGGTTTTTGGCACTTGGAAAGAGAGATTAATTATATGTTATAAACGTTTGGCATAATCCCTTGTAGCAGCATACAGTTTATTGAAGATCGAAGGATGAAGTGTAACGGCGTTGTATTTATAAAAAAATGAACTTCGATTATTACTGTCATAAATTGTCTATACTGCCACCAAATGCCCATCGAAATTACCCCTTATTTGCGATACGGTGTTTTTAATTGTGTATTTAAACCTTTATAAAAGTGCATTATCGTTCTCTTGTCATTTTTCTCAAGCCATAGTTGTGATAATCTTATGCATATGTTTGCTGCAATAATTTTCACGTGAAACTTTCAGATTTGAAAACTCGTGTAAATTTCACTGAACAAGGACGCTAATAGCTTTGTTTTTCTAGTAAATACACTAGCAAGCTATGATATTATGTAGAAGATGAAGCATTAGAAACCTAGAGTATTATCAGCACTGCAAGACTGGTTTTAAGAATAAGGTAAAAAACTTCCACCTATCACGGCCTAATCTGTATGCAATAAAAGTCTTAATGCAGGAATAAATTTGCACAACAGAAATGTTTTTATTCCTGTAGAGACATTGGCCGTATGGTTTTCTTTTCTACAGCACAAAAAATAGTAAAATATTGTTTCTTTGCTAGCAAAATGTGATTTTCAATGCTAAGTAGCTTATTCGCTGAAAGTACTTTTTGTAAAGTTCGTATCTAATACACAAGACATTAAAAAATGATTCAGGTTTAGCTTTGGTGATTTTTCTTCTTGATAGAACATTATTCTATTTATAGCATAACTTATGCTCTATATAAGTGTGTTTGTCGATGAAGCCAAAACTGAGCCGGTCAATCACATAAAAAGTAACCCTTTTACTTTGCTTTGAAAGGTTTCTACTCTTGCAATGATTGGTTTGCATTTGGAGAGAGAAGAAATGGCATCTACACAATTCTTGATGAACATAATGCAGCATTCAATGTATACTGTGACATGACATCAGAGAAAAATTCCTCGTGGACTCTAGTCGCCTCCTACTCTTTGGAAAATTTGGAATATTTCAAAACAGTGCCGTTCTACTTCGACCGTCCTTTAAATGAGAATAACTTTCAATGGGGAATGTATAGGTAGAAAACTGCTTCATATTCTCATAAAAAAATTCCATGAAGCACATTTTTCATTTATAGGCTAAAGCTATAAATGTGGCCCGAATGAATTTTTTATCGAATATTTTTTACATAAAGCTTAAAATTCTGCTGGTCATCTCCTACTTTTAGCTCTGTTAAGTAAAGTGATTAACGCATTAGTGTGGCCAGCCTATAACTACTCCTTAGTGGATAAGGGAGGGGTTGTCATATTCAACTAGGCTAGCAGTTCATGTGCGTCCTAGCAGGCTTCTAAGGGCAAGACATGATTCATTGCTGAACACAGTCCATTATATCTCAAAGCGCCTAGTGTTTAACATAGAAATCCTTACGTGACAACATTGTGACAACATGTAACTGGCACATGACAACGCATATTGATCATAGTTAAATCACTATAAGAAAAGCGCGGGCAAGACCATACGGTTAAACATAGCTGAAATCATAAAAGTGATAACAATTGAACAAGCCTTTCATTTGTGCTTAACGATTTAACAAGGTAATGGAAGGGAAATTGAAGTTAACTTTTACCTCATAAATTGTCAATGATTGAAGTGCGATTAGCCTGCCAAGTATACAATAAATTCGTATAGATCTACAGCATAAAAGTTGGCTCAAACATCAATAGAAAATTGTAACTTTTTACTTAATAGCTGTTCTGTAATTTGCCAAATTTCAATACCCGTGGATGCAAATCTGAAAAATTCGATACTATTTTGAGCTTTACATTTTTCTCTTGCAGGCAGCAAAAATCCAAAATGATGAAACTTATTACTGTTTCGTCGAATTGGAGGTTTACATGCAGTTTTCCTGACTATGGAATTGATTACCGTGACTATTTAAGAGTCAACACTACTCAGCTTAACCCATTGACCTATAAAGGCACCGGAAACCATGCAATTGTTGAATTTTTGAATATACGAGGACAGAGTGCAGAAGATATATCGATTCCATTTTGGCAACAAGATCATGCCATTCTTCATACAGACTCAAGCCAGCCTGAATATCCTGGCGCCTTTAAGCTGGAAAGTGTTTCAAGTGAGGACAATTTTGGTTATTATGATAACTGTAACTCAAAATTTAGATGCACTGAGAGGCAAAACAGTACAACCCAGCTTTGGTTTGGGGGATTGCGATAAAGATAAAACCAAACTGAGATAATTAAGTTTATCATTACACTATGTATGATGCTTGCTAAAAATACTAGGAACAACCAACAATCTATTTTGTGATTTGTATTTGTATTTCATTTCCAACAAATTACTTTTTGCTTCCCCTACCATTTGAACAATGTTGATAGTCAAGACATATTATTTATGAGTTACTCAAGGAAAGATTTCTCCTAATCTCATTTGTCGTTCTTAGGGGAAGAGGGGATGATTGACGTTGTTGGTATTGTAGATAGAGGATTTTCGTAGATAGAGATTCAATAATCATCTCATTTTGCTAGGGGTGTTGCGACTATATCCTGTGCCCATACGGATAAAAGATTTCAAGGGTTGGAAAGGTCCGTTATTATAACATTAATAGAGTTGTTATGAATTACACGCTATAGAGTAAGATTGACAAAATGTATTGCAGAAGTTTGTGTCAGCAACTAGAAAAAAAACAGGCATTTATTTTTTTATCAGGTAAACTCCTAGTCAATACAAACACCCCCCCCCCCCCCCCCTCCAAAAAAGGCCTGCCTCGCGACGGCCATGCATTTATCTATCAGACATCTTTTACTAAAGAAATTGCCATCAGCAAAATCTTTTGCATACTGATTAATGCAAGACAGAACATGAATAATAGTTGTGTAGCTCTGTAGTTAGGTAGATAATAAAGGTAGGAGAGATTGGTATAAACCATAATGTGTTCGGCCATCGAAAGGTTTTGGCTTGTTTAACAGCTTTTTGTGTAGCTTAGCCCCGTGAGTAAGAGGCAAGTGGGTCGATTGTGTCCCTTAACAAAGATGGGCACACTGGTGACCAAACTGCCGCTTTTTAAGATATGACTTTAAGTAACACGGTTGTTTTGAAAGATCATATCTTTACTGGGGACGTTAAACAATGTTTTACGAATATATACTTCGACTTAATATAGAAGATAACGTGCATTATAAATCCATATTAAGCACTGTAGAAAGATTTAAAAAACTTATTATAAAATATAAATTGGAGCAAAATTTATACATTACTAAAAACTTATTTTTTGTGATTTCTGCTAGGATTGCATTACCATATTTTGAAACTTATTAAAAACTTCGCACGCTTGGGGAAATCTCCTTTGTACTCTAAGCTGTTAGGCCCATATCCAAGAGCAAAAGCAAATTAATCTCAAGGTTCTGTAATTCGATATATGAGTACTGTTTATTTCTTCAGATACTAGGCTCCTTACGATAACAATGTATGTATTAATTCAGTTTCGCGATACTCGCGTTCACGTCAGTTCTTCAGATTACAATCAAAATCAAAACCATAACCAAGGTGGTTGCGCATGACCAAAATTGTCAACTATTGTCTTACCGAATATGGTAAAAATGTCCTTATATGTGCTATTTCTTACAAAACTACTTCGCGTGAATTTGTAAAAATAACTTATATTAGATTTTATTTTTGCTTGCTTCAATTTCTCATGTTCTACCAATCTTATAAAGAAATATTATCTTTGGTAGATTTTCTGTAGCGCTTACCAACACACGATGAAAGAACAAGCAAGGCAACAATGTGAATTACTTTATACACGCACACCCTCAGTTTTATATGTAACACATGTCAACTGGGGGTACTCAAGATTCCTAACTTAACCTTGAGAACATAAGTTTCATTCAAAGTTTTTCTTCGGGGACTCTTTTTATGACGTCATTAATACAAACATTGGCTATTCTTCATCGAATTTTAGCAGATATTTAAATATTTTGTTGTGGTGGGGTTTTTGCAGTTACAAATCTTGCGCCTTGTCATAACTTTTGCCACAAATTTTCACCCAATTTTCTAGTTCTCAGATTTTTTAAAATTTTTATCGGGGAAAAGCCAAAAAATCTCTTTGTTAAACATTTGGCATTTTGTTGCCCACGAGAGTTCTTTTCATTACAGAGCAGTCGAATTATTCATGCGCAGATGTACCATGATACCAGCCAAATGTATCATAACATGAACATTGTGAAGGTGTCACATAATATTATGCCAACATCAATTACAAATGTAACTTACTCCATATGTGTAACAGTGTATAAATTAAATTATTACGATGGCTTTGTCTCACTAAAAATTAAATGCATTTGTTTTTGAATATTATAATTTGATGATGCATAAAGAATGTCTTACGTGTGGCTTAAATTTTACGTACAGCGTTTACATTAACTTCTTGTTGTCTGCATATATAAAGTAGTAAATTTTCATAGAGGTTTTGAAAGCTTTTAGAAGATAGCTGCTAGCTTTTACATATTTTACACTGTGATTTGCGGGAACACGACAGTAATTCAAAATCTCGACTCTAATTGAATCATACCATATTACTGTGGCAAATAAGTCAAGGGTAGTGCATTCCAATCCAATGTTGAGTGGTGGCAGTGCATCGAAAAGCTGCATTTCGGGATCCATAGTATCCAAAATAATCTTCACTGTTAACGGGTCCTTCCTTTGCTTGCAAAAAATTGATATTTTTTGCAGGGTCAATGTGAAAATGTTCTCCTTCAGGTTGCCAAAAATCATCTAATTGCTCCGTAGTGCTGTACCCCTCTAATGTTTACAATTTCGACAAGTTTGGGGGATGCATGTATATAACAGCAAAGTGGATCAAATGCAGAAAGTTTGAATCTGACGTAGTCTCGATAATCAATGCCAAAAACATCGAAGCTGCATGTTGCTCTCCAGTGGGTTGATCTTAACTTGAGTTTCTCGATCCTTGTCTTGCTGAGTCTAAAAATGTGAAAATATAGATTAAGAAGCATATTCATTTTTTCTTAATGCTCTAGTATGTGCGAGAATATTATTATTAAATCCGACTAGTGATCAAAGATCGTAAAGAGCTTGAAGCACCTTCGAACCCTCCTGTTCTATAAATCACAGCTTTGATAAAGGCTTGGTATAAATACCTTTACCTAAACCTCTATCAAACGTAGAAAGCATTTCCCAATTAATTTCTAAACTTGTTTTTATTCAACACCAAATATGTATTTTTGTTTGTTTTATGATTATTATCATTATTTTTACTATGCAAATGATGATTAGAAGTCACACATTGCATTGTATCATTGCATTGTTAAGGAGTAGAATTCAGACAATCTTATTCTTCTTCCTTTCATAACAATTTCCTGTCGCGATGAACAAAAATGCAATGGTAAGAAGGTTTAACCTGTAACTGCTCCAGTTTGGAGAATCTTCACTGTAAGAGAAATCAATTTTGAATGGCCAGTCTTTGAACAGATGATTTTTACCCAAAGAGAACGATTCGATCAGGGTCCATACAGAGTTTGGTTCTGATATGAAGTCGCAGTAAACGTTGAATTCAACTCCGTCATCATCTGATATTCCGTATATCCCATTAATCATTGCAGAGTCGTATCGCCAATCAAGACAGGAATACTTTCCTTTCATTTAAAAGAAGGAAACAAAATCATTGGTAAAGTGTTTAGAATGCATTAAAAATCTCAAGGTGTAAAAAACCGACCTTTTTAAAATGGTTTCACACCTGAATATATTAGAAGCAAATTGTAGACAATCACCTTTTCAAAATTAGCATAGTTTTAGAGGCAATACAAAAAAATGAGAAAAAAAATCTTTATGGTATAGACTGAAGGAGACTTTTCCCCCTTCCAGTCAATTGATTTTTTTCAATAGTTAAGATGTCATCCTTCAATTATATATGTAAGTTTAACATAAATCTTGAAAATTCTTCCAGAAAAAAAAGAACTAAAATGTTGAAAGTACATTTTCGTTTCCATATTATCAGCATTTTCCGGTCTTGAGGAATATCATCTTCTTTGTTGTATGTATAATATTTGTGTGTTGTTATATTCTTTGCAACAAAATTGCATGGTCCATTTCTGCTACATTCGTGAAATGATTTGTGGAACATGCTTGTCTGTTCGTTGGTTGGGTTTTGTATCACTTCAAACATCACCGAATGTTTATTATCATCAACAGTCATGACTTTATTGAAGGTCAATGCAAAAAGCAGATGTATCAGGAACATTTTCCTAATTCTTGAGACGAACTGAAAAGTAAAAAAGACTCTACATTAAAAAAACGTGGTTTATTAGAATTTTGTTAAATATCTTGTTCCCTGACTGTCCTAGTATTTTACTCTTTCTCAGATACGGAAAACTGTTGTAATTCATTTTATCTCGATAGAAGTTAATTCTAACTGCCATCCGCCAGAAGCTGCTAACATTCTTGTTTGGTCTACTTCAAGGAAGGGTTCTTTTCCAAATCATTAAAGCAAAAAAGATCTTTCTCCATAACACTCATCAGAAGAAGGCCTGAATATTGCTTTTTAAATGTTTTGGTTTCTTTCTATCAACTTCCAGCAAATTGTTTAATTGTTTATTCTTCTATCTTAACGCTAGGCTATAACCCAAGCACAATATAATATAAAACAAGTATATACCCAAAATTATAAGATTCGTAAAATTGGTTAATCTTATAAACCTATAGCCTGATAGCAAAGAGATACAAGCCTTTCCATCTTCTTTGTGTATATTATTGGTAAAATTTGTGTCACATCGTTTCCTAGTCATTGTTTGTTGCCTGATAGTTGCATTAAGCATGAACTAAGCGAAACTATGCATTGTAAAAATCATACCTTTGCAAGATGAACGTGCAGCATTTGCAATGACGACAGCCAATGAGTTTATTTGGCTTCCGTTTTGTTGTTCAGCTGAATTGTCCTGGTGCTACTATACTGATCATCTTTTCACCAGGGCCCTTTTCCATTGTTCTATGCAATGCAATGTGCTGGTGAAATTACTGAGTTTTGATTAGCATGAATACAGTGCATGCTAAGTGTTTTGACGTAAAGTAGCGTACATAGTCCATCAGCTGCTATAAATGAATAGTAATGATAGGAATCTAACCATTAAAATCGATTGCAGCTTTGCAAATAAATATTTGATTTAATTAACTTTTTCACTATGCTCTTTTTGAAGTAAAGCACCCTGTCTTGACGTTATCGACGCTCTAATGTCCCTTTGATAAAATTATTTGTCTAAACGTTTAGCGAAATGTTAACTTTTACATACTGATTCTCAATTATTTTCAATCGATGCAGCTTATAAGAAATTATCAAGTCAAGCCGGTGTCATATGCGTTTCGGTAATCTTATGCATTTCAACCCGGGTATACAGACGCATGATAATTTTGGTTATGCAAAAACGTACCCAAGCACTTTAACTATAGTGTACCAAAACGAATGGTGGAACTTAGCATGCGAACCAGTCTGGGTACACAAATGTTCTGGTTAATATTGTTCAGAATGTAAAGAATAATCGAACTTTTTTTAACAAGAGGGTACTAAAAAGCAGCGATGCTGTGATTTCCCTTGTTAAGTTTATGCAAAAAAGTACAACATTAATGGCGACTCCAAAGTTTGCGTGATTGACAAGTGTGAAATTTTAAACTCTAAAAACCTTTTTTCAATTTGTTACTCGTAACGGGTCGTAACATTACACAACGAAAAAATCACATGATTTGAAACACATTGCGTTTCACAATGTTACACTTTTGAATAGGGTACCGAAACGCACCTCTTTTGCTGTCATATGCGTTTCGGTAACCTTATGCATTTCGGTCCGGGTACACAAACGCATGGCAATTTTGGTTATGCAAAAAGGTACCCAAGCACTTAAACAATAGGTAACCAAAACGAATGGTAGAATTAAGCATGCATTTCGGTCCGGGTACACAAACGCATGGCAATTTTGGTTATGCAAAAACGTACCCAAGCACTTAAAGAAGAGGTAACCAAAACGAATGGTGGAATTTAACATGCATTTCGGTCCGGGTACACAAACGCATGGCAATTTTGGTTATGCAAAAACGTACCCAAGCACTTAAACAATAGGTAACCAAAACGAATGGTAGAATTTAGCATGCATTTCGTTTTTATAGGTATAGAAGGTAAAAACTAAAAGACCAATATGTGAATAAAAGTATAAAATCCAAAATAGAAAAATGAGAAAAATGGAGATAAGGAGTAGTCACTACCACCTGGTCACAGCCTCAAACTCCGATGGGGGGTGGTTGTGTGTGCCCATATATGTTTAAACATCACACCATGATAAATCAACATGATTTCGCACATTGTGTCCTAACATCACACCATGATAAATCAACATGATTTGTAACACATTGCGTTTCACAATGTTACACTTTTGCATAGGGTACCAAAACGCATATTACACCGGCATGAGCTTCATTTCGGGTCTCATGTAAAGGGCCCCTTAAAATCAATTAAAGATCGAGCAAAGGTAGTTGTTGATTTGGCTAAATATGATATTCCTTGATATGAATGAAAATAAACAAACTAATGATTTGAAGATTTAGAGATTTCTTGTTGGCAAAATATCTAAAAATCCAAGCCCTCTTTAGGTAAAATTGTGGCTTGTGTTCATTCCTCTAAAAAAGCATGCTAAGATGGAAAGAGGGACCTAAATTGGCAACCAGTGCTGCTTGTTACCTGGCTTTAGAAGTAACTGACAACATGGAATTCTTCAAGAACACGGCGAAATTGTACCAGTTGTTTTTATCTGCTGTTCAATTTGTTTGCAAAAAAAGAATTTTCGTTAGGATTAGGAGGATTGATTTAGTAAAATTTGCATGAAAGAGTGCATTTTCCAGGGAACTGGAAGCATCAAATTCGTAAATTTATTGGTCCTTCCGCGGCAGCCATGCTGCCGCCTCAGGTAGCTCCCTGTCCCGGTATACAGATTTGGCAAAACTATTAGGAAAGTTTGTTATTATCATTTTAAAATGCAAGTTGCAAATTATATGCCACACACAGATACCACAGGGGCATTCATCTTCATAATAACCGTGTGGCATACTATCCCAAAGTCTGTTCCAAAAATGATGCAAGGCTTAATATATTGAATAATATTATCTCTTTTTTGTACACTTTCATACGAATATAGCCAACAATGAGCTACCACTTTTCATTAATAATAAATCCGAATGGCTGGTATGTTTGTTGAGTAACATAAATCCTTATCGTACCCTTTCATAAGTGAACAGCCAACAATTTATCATCAAGAAATCATTAATATCGAGATCCAACCTGCTGTAATGTTGGTTGAGTATCATTAACCCTTGTCCTACCCTTTCATTAGAGCGAAGCAAACATTGTATTATCACTTTTTAATGAATTATAGATCCGAGTAGCTGGTATGTTTGTTCAGTATTATAAATCCTTATCTTACCTTTATGTTTGTTGAAAAATATTTCTGAAGATTTTTTCCTGGTAGATATCTTTCATCCTAATCCTATCCTTTCAATTTGTCCTTTATGTTATTTCAGCATGAAGATTATCAGAATTAGCTATCAAAACCTTATCCGTAAAAGATATGTGATGGAATTTTATACTTTTTATATGTGTTCGAAGTCCTTTAGGATAAATCCACGAAAAACAAGACTGGTTTGATCTCGACCTCACAACTGTATCGCTTATTCAGTTACAACGACATATAAGTGTTTCGAACCTGTCTAAAGCCTCGTTCCCACTTGGTCGTTTGGGTCGTTTGGGTCGTTGGAAGAAACGTACCTGCCAACGACCCAAAATACCCGAAAGACTCAAACGACAGTTATCGCAGAGATAGAAAAAATTCTATCTCCGCGACCCGAAATACCCACGCATGAATGATTTTTGCAAGTGGAAACCGACAAACGACTCAAACGACTCAAACGACCCACGCTTTAGTAACTTTTTCTTCAAGAAAAGGAGGTTTTCTTGTAACCGCGTGTTTGACTAGAACAAGAACAAGATAGCTGAATATTTCACAGAAAGCTTTATGGAAGAAGTTAATAAATACGAGTACCATTATAACAATAACTGGAAATAGTTAAAAAATAAATACAAAAATATCAAATCATGGCAAGCCATTGCACTGAAATTTAGTGATTTAACATCGTCGTCTGTACAAAGTCACCAGAGGTAGAAATAGTTGACTTGGCAACATCAGTTGTTGTTTATCAAATGCTACCATCGTTCCTTCCACGCATGCCGCCAAAATTAAATGAGCGATGCATGGTGCAAGCAATGAGCAGCATCAACAACAAACGACTCGAAAGACTCAAACGACCAAGTGGAAACAAATGTGTTTTTTGAGTCGTTCGTGTCTTTCAGGAACGACTCTGACGACTCAAACGACCCAAACGACCAATTGGGAACCAGGCTTAAGAATATTGCACATTCTAAAGTTTGGTTTTCATTCTATCAACTTCTATTTAGTTTTTTTGATTTTTCATTCTTGTCCTTTGATTTTTCGCTATAAGCCAAGCAAAATTTGGTAGGAAACAAATATATTTCCCCTGATGTTAGTTGAAATAATAAGACAGATAAAAATGGTTCTTTTTTAAACCTAATGTCTGATATAATGGTCGTAGCATCGTCCTGTTGGATTTGGCTGTCGTCCATTATTTTGCGCACCTATTTTGATTTGTTTTGTTTATAAACATGTCTCATAAAGCCATATATTTGAAAGGAAAGGCAATTTGACAAGAAAATAGTTGAAACAGGATATCAGTGGACGATTTATATTGACAGTATATTTTGCAAATCTTATTAGTTAAATCATTCTTAAATGATTAATATTGCTAGATGATTGCATTAAGCGTGAATCTTGATGTTAAAACTGTCCGTTATATTCACCAAAACGTCAATTGCAGGATACATATCAGCCTAGGTTTGAAGGAAAATCTCCCATATTTAACATTTTGCCGTAATGGAAGAAGATTATTTTATATGACGAATTTATAAAATTCAGTTATAGAAAATCAGTTTTTGGATATGTAGCATAACAACGCTTATCAAATTAACCATATTTGAAGTTATACCTTTGCTAGATGAACCTGCACCATTTATAATGACGACCGCCAATGAGTTGCTTTTGCTACCGTTTTGTTGTTCAGCTGAATTGTCATGGTGCTGCTATACTGACCATCTTCTCATCAAAGCCCTTTACAATGGTTCCATGCAATGCAATGTCCTGGTGACAGTACTGAGTTTTGTGCTAGCGCAAGCACTTGAAGTATTCCGATGTATACAGTGTATAAACGTGAAACGCCTGACTAGTGTCAGATGAAAAGCTTACGAATGTTTTTAAATGTTTATTCCAGCCATTTTTCAATTGCGTAAAAGCAATAAAACTGTAAGCTTTTCCTTCATTTATTTAAAGATGTATCATGTTGGTTGAAAATGCCAAAAGAATTAAAAACATAGAACAGATCAGGTTTCAGAATGTAAAAGTACCTGATTGGCTGAGAAATACCACACCTGTTATTTCTCCTGCTCGGTATTGGCAAAACATCAAACATCTTCTAAGAGCAAGCTTTCTTCGCAGCAAAAAAGAGCTCTATTTCACCACTTTAGCATGCTTTAACACACTTTCTTTAACAATTTGGAGATAAGATATTTCCGCTACTTAGTATAAGATATTTCCGCTACTTCATATCATCTTTAAATTTTCCGATACCATTAACTTGTTTTAGTAAATTCAATAAACATTGTACTATTCTAGAAAGCGAATTCTTCTTGATATTTTGCTGAGCTCGTTCTTACAAATTGCTAATTAACCTAAATGAATGACATTGTGTCATCTCCGTATGATATCACACTATCAGTAAGATAATTTAGTAAAATTTAGCTACTTAAAATGGTTACTCTTAAGGTCTCCATTTGTAAGATATCAATTTTCCCCGTGAAAGTTCACGATATTTCATTTTATCTCGTTTGCCTCAAATAAGCATAGCTATTTTTTTAAACATCCAGAAACTATTGTAGAATCTAATAGCTTCAAATAGGCCCATTTTATTAAGGGGCGATGGTCGAAGCTAAGTACTCCAGTTTCTAAACGTTTTGGAAAATTTCAATACTCATTATTTCCTTAGAGTTTACAAAAAGTGACGTCATCAATTAAAAATCGAGTTCCTTAGGAAATATCCCGACAGAAACTGTTCGAAAAGGGTGTTTATAGTTCAATCATTGTGAGTAATCGATGTTCCTATTGATTTTTAGAATCTCAGTGACATAAGCCTTGAATTGAATTTAACGAAATTTGCACCTTATAGAATGAGAGGAAAAAAATCGTTATTCAACTGTCAAAGTATTTTCATTTTGTTCTTCCATCTCATCCAAAGCTTACGTCAAAATGCAACTTCAAAGCTACAAATTGCTTCTAAAATAAACAATAGAGTAAGGAAACTGAATTTTTGTTTTTTTCCTTTTTTATTTATTTAAGTACCTCTATTTATAAGTTGCTAATGAAATATAAAATTCAATTTTCCGTCTGCTCAGTAAAACATTAGAGACTTTCAATACTTTATCTCCTTCATTCGAAACTTTCATCTTTCTCAACAAGAAATTCTTCAGAATAATTATTATTCGTAGATTTTTGCACAAAATAACTTCTAGATAAACCTGAATAAGATTCGATCTGGCAGAATCTTTGGTAGACACAAACTGTCATAACATGATAAGCAATACATCGATTATTAATCAGATCTTGAATTCTAATATATACTTTACTTATTAGATTATTAGCGGCTCTTGTGTATAAGCCAATCTCAATTGTAAGTTTGGTAAAAAAAAGGTTGACGCAAACGATGATAAAAATGATAAATAACTTAATAAGTATAGAAAAAGACATGAGAATTCCAATCAACAACAGTAGCTTCCTGCAAAAGATCATCAACATCGTCCTGCCCTAATTCTTTTTAATCTTTGGCATCATCACCCAAGTAGGAAAGCTTGGCAGTATCTGCATTAAATAATAAAAGCTGCTAAAGTTTTTAAGCCGTCCTTGATTATAAAGTGCAGTAAAACGTGCCAAAAAATTTGATACTGATGTCTTTAATTGAATAAGGATGATATGAAGGTATCATGCTCGTAACTACTGAAAGATCTAGAATTTAGCTGCAACTATTGGAGAGATGGGAAAGACATCAATTACCTGATAGAGTGCTGATAATAATAATTAAAACCTTAGAAATTCAATTTTCCTTTGCAATTTGCCTTTTACTAGAAACAAGCGTGAAAATCTTGTTAGTGATTAGTGATTAGTGATTAGTGATTAGTGATTAGTGATTAGTGATTAGTGATTAGTGATTAGTGATTAGTGATTAGTGATTAGTGATTAGTGATTAGTGATTAGTGATTAGTGATTAGTGATAAGTGATTAGTGATTAGTGATTAGTGATTAGTGATTAGTGATTAGTGATTAGTGATTAGTGATTAGTGATTAGTGATCTTAACATTGTTATTAGTGGTTTTCGTAGTTGAAACTCAATGATCTCCTTTCAGCTACAGCTGCTCTCTCAGATTTTCAAGTGCAATGAATGATTGTCTGGTATCAGTTTTCAGCTGCAAACGAGCTGCCGCCTTTGCTACCTCGATTGAAAGTATTTTTGAAGATATTTAAATATTTTGTTGTGGTGGGGGTTTTTGCAGTTACAAATCTTGCGCCTTGTCATACCTATTGCCACTAATTTTCACCCAATTATTGAGTTTTCCAATTTTTTAAAAACCCATAGATTTTAAACATTTTGCCTCGAGTATTGAAGTTTTTGAATCCTATGAGATTGCCCAGTAGCTGGCATTTTTATAGAAAATTTACGGTACGCAACGATGATGAATTAACACGACTGTACATGGTGTGTTGGGTAAAGTAGGATGGTTCTAGGCTATAATTACGAGCTTGATTTTCAACCTAGTCAATGAGCAATTATACCAGACTTGATGAAATTGTTAGGCTTTTATTTTTGTCACTTAGCTTTGGTAAATTACTCTTATATGAAGGAGCTTTGTATAAGTTCAATGCCTCTACATCCTTGTTGGTGTCAAATGTATGTTTTGGCCGTCGATATAAAGCACAAGTCTTGTGAATATTGGTTTGTGTCATACTCATAGGTGCCGGAGGGGGCAGAAAAAACGCTGGGGGTCGGATTTTATGTTCAACAATTATTGGTGGGGGGGGTTCAAATTACCGGGGAGGTCTAAATTATGAAGTTACATATATTGAAAACTCATAATACATTTAAAATCAGTGCGCTTATTTCACTATTTTATAGCTATTATTTTCTATTGACAACTTTTAGCTTCTGTTACGCTTATTTCACTACTGCAAATTAACACAAAAGTGTCAAAATCAATTTGCGGGGCGTCCTAATAAGAGCGAGGGGAGGGGGGTTGGAAAAATTGCCGGGCGGGGAGGGGGGGGCAGAAAAACCGGTGGGGGTTGGATTTTATGTTCAACACTAATTGGTGGAGGAGGGTTCCAATTACTGGGGAGGCTTTAATTATGAAGTTACATATACTGAATACTGAAAATACATTTAAAATCAGTGCGCTTATTTCACTATTTTATCGCTATTATCTATCATTGACAAAATTTAGCTTATGTTACGTTTTCTTCACTACTGTAATTAACACAAAACTGCCAATTGGCGAGGGGTCCCAATAAGAGCGGGGGGGGTTGGAACAGGCATATCTAATAACTTTAGCTTTTATATATTTTTTACACTGTGATTTGCGGGAACACGATGGTAATTCAAAATCTCGATTCTATTTGAATCATAACATAAAACTGTGGCAAATAAAAACAGAGTCAAGGGTAGTTCGTTCCAATCCAATGTTGAGTAGTGCTGCGGCTATTGGCAGTGCATCGGAATGCTGAATTTTTGTATTCATATAGTCCAAAATTATCTTCACTTTTAACGGATCCTTCCTTTGCTTGCAAAAAATTGACATTTTTCTCAGAGTCAATATTTAGATGTTCTTCTTCATCTTGCCAAAAATCAACTAATTGCTCCGTAGCGCTGTACCCTCTAATGTTTACAAATTCTACATGTATAGGAGCTTTACTTATATAACAGCAAAGTGGATCAAATGCAGAAAGTTTGAATCGGACGTAGTCTCGATAATCAATGCCAAAAACATCGAAGCTGCATGTTGCTCTCCAGTGGGTTGATCTTGACTTGATTTTCTCGATCCTTGTCTTGCTGAGTCTAGAAAATGTACAAATTCAGATTAAGAAGCATATTCATTTTTCTTAATGCTCTAGTATGTGCGAGAATATAATTTTTAAATCCGACTAGTGATCAAAGATCGTAAAGAGCTTGAAGCACCTTCGAACGCTCCTGTTCTATAAATCACAGCTTTGATAAAGGTTTGGTATAAATACCTCTACCTAAACCTCTACCAAACGTAAAAAGCATTTCCCAATTAATTTCTAAACTTGTTTTTATTCAACACCAAATATTCCATTTCATTGTGAAGGAGTAGAATTCAGACAATCTTTTTTTTCTTCTTTTCATAACAATTTCCTGTCGCGATGAACATGAAAGCAATGGTAAGAAGGTTTAACCTGTAACTGCCCCAGTTTGGAGAATCTTCACTGTAAGAGAAATCAATTTTGAATGGCTTGTTCTTGAACAAATTGTTTTTACCCAAAGAAAATGATTCGATCAGGGTCCATACTGAGTTAGGCTCTGATATGAAGTCGCAGTAAACGTTGAATTCAACTCCGTCATCATCTGATATTCTGTATATCCCATTGACCATTGCAGAGTCGTATCGCCAATCAAGACATGAATACTTTCCTTTCATTTAAAAGAAGGAAATAAAATCATTGGTAGAGTGTTTAGAGTGCATTGAAAATCTCAAGGTGCAAGTATAAACTGATCATTTTAAAATGACTTCGCACCTAAATGTATTAAAAGCGAATAATAGAGAATCGCCTTTTCATAATTAGCATAATTTTAGAATCAATGCAGAAAAATAAAAGAAATCGCTACGGTATAGACTTTTCCGCCTTCCAGTTAATTGATCTATTCTCAATAGGTAAGATGTCATCCATCGAAATATTTCAAGGGTAATGAGAATTACGTAACATAAATCTTGAAAATTCTTCCAGAAAAAAAGAACTGAAAAGTTGAATAAAGTACTTTTTCGTTTCCATATTATTAGCATTTTCCGGTCTTGAGGAATATCATCTTCTTTGTTGTATGTATAATATTTGCGTGTTGATATATTCTTTGCAACAAAATTGCATGGTCCATTTCTGCTACATTCGTGAAATGATTCATGGAACATGCTTGTATGCTCGTTTGTTGGGTTTTGTATCACTTCAAAAATCACCGAACGTTTATTATTATCAGCAGCCATGACTTTATTGAAGGTCAATGCAAAAAGCAGATGTACCAGGAACATTTTCCTAATTCTTGAGACGAACTGAAAAGTAAAATAAGACTCTACATTAAAAGAACGTTGTTTATTAGAATTTTGTTAAATATCTAGTTTCCTGATTGCCCTGGTATTTTACTTTTTCACAGATATGACAAACTGCTGTAATTCATTTTACCTCTATAGAAATTGTTTCAGGAAACATTCATTTTTATTATCTACTTCCAGAAGCTGTTCTTTTCCAAATCATTTAAAAAATGAATTTTTTTTATTGCTGAATCTGGTATACTAATCATCGCTGATTTTGAAAAAAAATTTACTTTTTAAATTTGGGGCCCACAAATAGGGGTTTCTGGGGTTCTTTTGCGAGTAGGTCGGGTAAAAAGAGGCTGGGCGAGTGACGAATTAAGATTTATATAGTCAATTCAGCCATAGTGAGGGCTGTAAGAAGATAAAAAGATACAAGCATGAAACTTGATGGAGCTAGGCAGTTTGATACGCCAAAAAGATAGGGTGTGAATAGACGCTGACAAATATCCTCTTTTACTATTTATAGAGTGGGGTACTAGGTTCCAAACCTCTAAGTAGTAATTGACACAATTTTGCCATTGGATCGCAATACCAGCATGGAAGTTTGTAGTAATAGGCAGTTTGATACGCTGAAAAAGATATGATATGAATTGACGCTCAAAAATCCCCCTTAGGCTATTTATAGACTGGGGTACTAGGTTCCAAACCTCTAAGCAGTGATTGTCATAATTTAACTTTTAGATCGTGATATCAGCATGGAACTTTGTAGAGATAAGCAGTTTGATACGCTGAAAAAGAAAGGATGCGAATAGACGCCGAAAAATTTCCCTTGTGCTATTTATAGCCAGGGGTACTAGAGTTCAAACCTCTTAGTAGTAGTTGTCACAGTTTAACAATTAGATCGCGATACCAGCATGAAACTTGATAGAGATAGGCATTTTGATACGCCAAAAGAGATAGGGTATGAATAGACGCTTAAAGATACCCCACCGTGCTACTTATAGACTGGAGAACAAGGTTCCAGATAAATCAAGTTATTATCAAAATTTTCATTTTGGATCACGATACCATGACAATGATGCTAACAATGATGCTACTGCCTAACCAGGGACGCTAAGACGTTCTTGAAGCCAAAACGGATAGGCGAACAGATATTTGCAACCATGAACTCTAGATGAGCTTAAATTGATATTTTTCTTGCAAACGTTTACAAAGTTTTACTTTTTAAGGCATAATTTTGCTTTTACTTTTAATAAACTCCATTTAAAATGAACTTCTTTACTTTTTGAGGCCCCCTGACGATCAGGCCCTGCAGGCACCGCGGAGCAGGGGGGCTGGGGGGCTTTATGCAAAAAATGCCAAATATTAAGTATTAAACTACCAGAAAAGCCTCTTTTCTACGGTTTTAGCCCCCCACTTTTTTTAGACACCCTAGTTTTCTCAAGTCTCCGCGGTGCCTGCCCTGGGGCAATTTATCCCATCTTGACGGCCGTTGCGATAACTGATGCTTTGACAGTGGCAACGCAAGTTGGAAATTGGGAAAAGCGCCGGATAATGTGCAATTTGTGTGGTTCTATAATAGATAAACTTTTTCCTTTGATCAATTTGCTCACAATTTGATCTTTTATTGATAATTTGTAAAGCTGTTCGTAAAAGCATTCTTATTCGACACGCTCAATAATTCACAACAGGTAAAAAGTTTGCTTATTTCGTATGGGCTCGAAATTTTCTCAAATAAATACCTTGCACGTGTCTTGTAGTTAGATAGCTAGTGATATTTAGAGCACAATTATCGCACTATTTCCATCCACTTCACGTTTTTTTGGGTTTTTTATAGCACTCGAAATACAGTTTTCAGTACTGAAGCTAACATCACTTCCGCGACTTATAAACGTTAATGCGTCACACATTCCTGAAATTCCTCACAGACAGCGCACAAATTTTCGGACAAAAAGTCTTGAGAATCGCAACTTTGAAGCGCTGTAGCTTCAAAACACTTCCCAATTCCAAAAAAACGAACTTCACCATCGGATTCAGGAGCACTGACTTGACTAAGAACATCAATAAAAATTGTTTTGATTTTTTCAATACAGTTGCACTTCAAGCAAAAAAGATCTTTCTCAATAATACTCAACAGAAAAAAGTCTGAATGTTGCATTTTTAACTGTTTTGGTTTCTTTTTATCAACTTCCAGCAAATTTTTTAATTGTTTATTCCTTTTCCTTAATGCTAGGCTATAATCCAAGCAAAAGATGGTATAAAACATGTATATAACCCATAATGATAAGATTCGTAAAATTGGTTAATCTTCTAAACCTATAGTCTGATAGCAAAGATATACAAGCCTTCAAACTTTCTGGTGTCTATTATTTGTATAATTTGTGTCAAATCGATTCTAAGTCATTATATGCTGCCTGATAGTTTAGCGTGAACTAAGCGAAACTAAGCACTGTTGAAGTTATACCTTTGCAAGATGAACGTGCAGCATTTGCAATGACGACAGCCAATGAGTTGCTTTGGATTCCGTTTTGCTGTTCACCTGAATTGTCCTGGTGCCGCTATACTGATCGCCTTCTCACCAAAGCCCTTTGCTATGGTTCTATACAATGTGCTGGTAAAAGTATTGTGTTTGATTTCCATGAAATGTTAAAGACTCATTGCTAACAATGAGTCATTGCGCAACGTAAGTATCCCATAATGCATTTTCAGACGGTCTGAAATCAATTTTGGTTAATCCGTAGAAGTTTACGGCCATTGTTTGGACCGTCGCCACGCTCGCAAAGGCCCATTGTTAGCAATGAGTCTTTAAGTAGCGAACATAGTCTATCAGCTGTTATAAATGAACAGGAATGAGAACCATAAAAATAATGCTACCCTAGGAATCAAACCATTAAAATCGATTGCAGCTTTGCAAATAAATAGTTGAATTAATTAAATTTTTCGTTGCGCTTTTTGGAAATAAATCAAGTAACGAACTACCTTAACATTATCGACACTCTAATGTTCCTTTGATAAACTTATTTGAATATACGTTTAACGAAATGTTTACTTTTACATACTGATTTTCAATTATTCTCAATCTATGCAGCTTGTTAAGAATTACCAAGTTAAAGAGACACCAGCGCAAAATTTCGACCACCGACAATTGTAAAAAAGTTTTGGTTATATGAAGGGGTGACAAAAGTTCTACCAAAAAATGGTTTTACATGTTTTATCTGAAGGGTATTGATGAGAGAATACAAGGCCAACTAATGTATCCCAGATGTCCACAATTTTAATTAATGAAAACAGCTTGCCACTTTATCTGCAATTAATATTAGGATCCCATTGAAGTATATGTTTGTGGTAGAAAAATTACTCTTTATCGTACCCTTTCATAAGGAAAAAGCCGGCCCTATCAATCTATCACTATGTTCAAAGTGCAACTAGCTGCTACATAAGTTATTTATTTTGATAGAGATCTACAAAACACCACTAAAAATACAGTACAATTAAGATACCACAGGGGGCATTAATCTTTATGCTAACACAAGATACCACAGGGGGCAATAATAAAATTGTGGCCATTCGCAATTATCTCAAAGTCTATTCCAAAAATGATGCAACGCTAAATAAGTTGAATAACATCTCAAAGTCTTCTTGCACACTTTCATACGAATATAGCCAACAATGAGCTACCACTTTTCATTAATAATAAATCCGAATGGCTGGTATGTTTGTTGAGTAACATAAATCCTTATCGTACCCTTTCATAAGTGAACAGCCAACAATGTATCATCAAGAAATCATTAATATCGAGATCCTACCTGCTGAAATGTTGGTTGAGTATCATTAACCCTTGTCCTACCCTTTCATTAGAGCGAAGCAAACATTGTATTATCACTTTTTCATGAATTATAGATCCGAGTAGCTCGTATATTTGTTGAGTATTATAAATCCTTATCTTACCTTTATGTTTGTTGAAAAATATTTCTGAAGATTTTTTCCTGGTAGATATCTTTCATCCTAATCCTATCCTTTCAATTTGTCCTTTATGTTATTTCAGCATGAAGATTATCAGAATTAGCTTTCATAACCTTATCCGTTAAAAATATGCGATGGAATTTTATACTGCTTATACGGGCTAGAAGCAAATGTGAATCTACATCTTATTAATCTTAGGAATTTGCCATTGAGCTGCATTTACTAGCAAACTTTGGTTGTGCTTAAATCGTAATGGTGACGTGTTTCAGATAATTGGCAGAGCTTGGTCTGAATGTTGCACATTCTAAAGTTTGGTTTTCTTTCTATCAACTTCTATCTATTTTTTTTTAATTGTTCATTCTTTGCCTTTGATTTTTGGCTATAAGCCAAGCAAAATTTGGTAGAAAACAAATATATTGCCCCTAATGTTAGTTGAAATAATAAGATAAATAAAAATGGCTCATTTTTAAACCTAATATCTGAGATACTGGTCGTAGCATCGTCCTATTTGATTTGGCTGTCGTCCATTATTTTGCGCTTCTCTTTTGATTTGTGTTTTTTATAAACATGTCTCATGAAGCCATATATTTGAAAGGAAGGCAATTTGACAAGAAAATAGTTGAAACAGGAAATCAGTGGACGATTTATATTGACAGTATATTTTGCAAATCTTATTAGTTAAACCATCATTAAGATAATTTAGTAAAATTTAGCTACTTAAAATGGTTACTCTTAAGGTCTCCACATGATTTGATTTTTCTGTAAATATGCTTTTTATTTTCCTTAAATCTGGGTTTTGTTTCATATTTTTGACTAGAGTGAATAAAGCAAGCTCAGATTTGGTGATCACTAGATAATATAACAATGTTGATTTGTAAGATATTAATTTCACCGTGAAATTTCAAGATATTTCATTTAATCTATTTTGGCTTAATAAACATAGCCAATTTTTTAAACATCCAGAAACTATTGTAGAATCTAATAGTCTCAAATAGGCCCATTTTATTAAGAAGCGATGGTTGAAGCTAAGTACTCCAGTTTCTAAACGTTTTGGAAAATTTCAATACTCATTGTTTCCTTTGAGTTTACAAAAAGTGACGTCATCAATTAAAAATCGAGTTCCTTAGGAAATATCCCGACAGAAACTGCTTGGGGTGATATTTTATAGTTCCAAACAATGTGACCCGTCGATGTTCCTATCGATTTTTAAAAGCTCAGTGACATTTCTGTCAAAAGATTTGCTTCCGTTCAAATACTGTTTTTAGATGCAGGAAGTGTATTCTTATTCTTTGTGTCCAAATTTTGATGTCCATCAGACAATAATTTTGATAAAGTTCTTAGATTTTTCCGAGTCTTCTTAGAACTTTTCAAAATTTAGTTGCTTCTTCATTATTTTGATATGAGTACTGGAGTTTTTCAATTTTTTTGATTGCCCGGTACTCGTTTCTTATAAAATAAGAGAGTAAATAATAATACCATCTGTTCAAGAAGAGAGATATACTGACGCGGTAAGCCTTGAATTAAATCTAACAAAATTTTGTAAATTACATAAATAAAGTCGTTACTTGACAGTCAAAGTCTATTCATTTTGTGCTTTCATGACATCCCAAACTAACGTCACATTTCATCTTCATAGCTACAAACTGCTTCTAAAATATACCATAGAGTGATGAAATTGGTTTTTTGTTCTTTTTATGATTTTTTCTTTATTTAAGTACCGCTATTTACAAGTTGTTAATTAGATATAAAATTCAATTTTCTGTCTGCTTAGGAAAACATTAGAGACTTTCAATACTTAATCTCCTCCATTCGAAACTTTCATCTTTCTCAACAAGATATTCTTCAAAGAAATTTTTATTGCTGGATTTTGCGCAAAATAGATTCTAGATAGACCTGAAAAAGATTTGATCTAGCAGAATCTTTAGTAGACACAAACTTTCATAACATGATAAGCAATACATCGATTATTAATCAGATCTTGAATTCTACTATATATCTTATTTATTAGATTATTAGCGGCTCTTGTGTATAAGCCAAACTCAATTGTAAGTTTGGTAAAAAAAAGATTGACGCAAACGCTGATTAAAATGATAAATAACTTTATAAGTATAGAAAAAGACATGAGAATTCCAAAAAACAACAGTAGCTTCCAACAAAAGATCATCAACATCATCTTGCCCAGTTCTTTTTAATCTTTGGCATTATCACCCAAGTAGGAAAGCTTGGCAGTATCTGCATTAAATAATGTAAGCTGCTAAAGTTTTTAAGCCACCCTTGATAATAAAGTGCAGTAAAACGTGCCAAAAAATTTGATACTTTGGCCTATAATTGAATAAGTACGGTTTGAAGCTATCATGCTCGTAAATACTGAAAGATCTAGAATATAGCTGCAACTATGATAAGCGTCCTTTGATAAGCTACCTCAATTGAAAGTATTTAAAAATGTGTGTGTAGAAGTGGTTAACTGAGAGTAAAGTTTTTACAGTCAAGTCGTAAACAACAGAACTTGTTTATCTTAGTAGAACTTAATTAAAAAGAAGATGAAATCTTTCACCTTGTCTTAGAGAAGTAGGAATATATCATTAATATAGAGCATCTACCTGTTTGGTCACCACAGGAATAGCGAGAAGCTCACCATGTTGATGTTTCACTGATTTCCTTATTTTACTTATTTATTTTATTTACTTATTTTACTTCTTTACTTTTTCAATTATTTACTGATTTACTGATTTACTTTTTTACTTATCTACTTATTTACTTATTTACTAATTTATATATTTACCTATTTACTTGTTATTTATTTTACTTATTTAAATTTTAACTTATTTACTTCCTAACTTATTTACTTATTCACTTTTTTACTTATTTACTTATTTAATTATTTAATTATTTTCTAATTCACATATTTTCCTAATAACATTTTTACTGATTTTATCATTTACTTATTTACTTATTTAATTATTTAATTATTTACTAATTCACATATTTACCTAATAACATTTTTACTGATTTTATTATTTACATATTTACTTACTTATTTATTTACTTATTTACTAATTTACTTATTTACTTGTTTACTTATTTAGTTATTTACTTATTTAGTTATTTACTTATTCACTTATTTACTTATTTACTCATTTACTTATTTACTTATTTACTTATTTACTAATTTACTTATTTACTTATTTACTTATTTACTTATTTACTTATTTACTTATTTACTTATTTATTTATTTACTTATTTACTTATTTACTTATTTACTTATTTACTTATTTACTCATTTACTTATTTACTTATTTACTTTTTTACTTATTTACTTATTTACTTATTTACTTTTTTACTTATTTACTTATTTACTTATCTACTTGTTTACTTATTCACTTATTTACTTATTTACTTATTTACTTATTTACTTATTTACTTATTTACTTATTTACTTATTTACTTATTTACTTATTTACTTATTTACTTATTTACTTATTTACTTATTTACTTATTTATTTATTTACTTATTTACTTATTTACTTATTTACTTATTTACTTATTTACTTATTTACTTATTTACTTTTTTACTTATTTACTTATTTACTTATTTACTTATTTACTTATTTACTTATTTACTTATTTACTTATTTACTTATTTACTTATTTACTTGTTTACTTATCTATTTTTTAACTTATTTT